TTTTTAAAAATCAACTTCCATTTTGGGAAAAAAGATGACTCTAAGATGTTTCGAGAGACATGGTGGGTGGTTTATTATCACATCTTCATCCATCAGGATCAGAGGAATCAATGAGGAGAAAACTACTCAAAGCAATAGTAGCAACAAGAAAACATGAAAGGCTTCTCCAGGCTGATCCTCAAGAAATTTTTAAGCATGATTGGCTCAATGGCTACGTTTTTCAAAACCATTCAGATCCACTCCCCCTTCTCTCTCTCTCTCACACGCGCACACACACAGAGTCTGATTTCCTCTTTGTACACAGACTCTGGTTTCCTCTCTAAACCTTTCCCAAAAAAATTACCTGTTGTGAACGTGTCATTGGATTTCATACTAACCCCGCGAGCCACCCTTCCAAAAAAGGACTAAAATATAAAGAAAGAGAAACCAAGGAGAAATCTAGAAAGAGTGGGCTCCACTGGAGCAGTAATGAACAACCAAACATGTGCCATCTTGTAGCAGCTGCAGATCAGTCCACTCCCCTATTGAAACCACTAACTTCATAACCTTTCTTCAAAGTGTGAAGAGAAGTCAGTGCATTCCTAAATTAAACAAAAGATTTCTTCCTCTAAAGAGTGGGTCCAAATCTCTGAATTTGGGAAGTCAAAGATAAGCTGAAAGCCATCAACTACTCTAACCCTCATTTTACAGATGAGGAAGCTGAGGCCCAGAGAGGGGCAGTGATGTGCTCAAGGTCAAAAGGACAGAGGATGCGACAGGATTAACATCCAGGCCTCCAGAATTCCAGAATCCTTTCTTTCCACTATTCTAAGTATCTCTGGTTGGGAGGAGGAAACTGACTGAGAGGACAGCTGTGGGAAAAGTATAGAAATCAAATAATAATTGGCCATGTCTCAACCTTGGATGATTCCCACCATCTGCTGATTTTGCTCCTTTTGTGGGCTACTGAATGGAGCTAAAGAAAAATGAGGAAACTGATAATTGGCTATGCTGCAAATTTATGTCACAGACTCACAAGTGGGCTCTCACTGCTAGCAGGCAATCCCTTTTCCGCCCCCCTCTTTAATCCATTCAGTCTCCCAATCACTGCAGCTTTTCCACTGTTTTCATCCTTTCTCCGAAGGCCCATAATCCTCCAGCTCCTCTCAAGAAGCAGTGCCTCATAGTTCACAGAAAAAAAACCAGCCAATCACTGAGATCCAATTCTAGCAGACGATCCCCGATTCTATCATTGACATGCCCTCTCATTAATCTTCAGTCTCCTCCAGACTACAAACACACCCTTGTCTGCCCGATTCCTAAACAACCTTCCTTTGATCCGCTGATGCAGCTCCCCAACCCCACCTCCATTCTCTATCTCTTCTCCCTTTCATGACCAAATTCCTTGAGAAGGCTGTCTACAATAGTCATTCCTCTCACTCTTCTGAACTCTCTGAAGTCTGGTTTCCCGTCCATCTACTGAAACTGCTCTCACACTTACCAAGGATCTCCTTGCCCTGTCTACTTCACAGGCTTGTATTGTGAAGAAAGAGCCAAGCAAACTTTAAAACCCTCTAAAAATGTAAGGAAAGCCTTTTATCAACAGTAACGTCCTACATTCATGTGACTTATTAACAAATACTTGAGTGTATAAGGGAATGTGCCTCTCCAAACTTTCCAAGACCCGAGAGAAGAATGCAGGCCATCCCCAGGCCAGGTGTGTGGGGGGGAGGGGGGGGTGCCGTGGGGACTAGACGAGAATGGCCTGAGCTCGGATTCCAGGGGATCCTTTGATAGCCCTGGGTCGACTCCGAGTCCCATGAGGTGGCAAGGCAGGGCTTTAATGGGGGGACTGTTACGACCACCATTGCCAGGGAGGTCATAGTCCTTTCTGGCTGCTAGAATTCACCAAGAGCATGTACTGTCGCTGCTTCAAGTCAAAAGACATTCGTTAGATGGCGCTCACGAGCCTCCTTGTCAGACCACAACTTGTCTGCTGTAAACACCAGATTGTCTTTTGCTTTCTTCATATCCCTAGTACTTAGTTCAGGGCCTGGCACAGTCATTTTTCAGTCACGTCCTACTTGCCATGACCCCATTTGGGGTTTTCTTGGCAGAGATACTAGAATGGTTTGCCATTTCCTTCTCCAGCTCAGACAGCTCTCTCTGTCCTCAGACAGATGAGGAAACTGAGGCAAGAAGGGTCAAGAGACTTGCCCAGGGTCACACAGCTCGTCAGTGTCTGAGGCTGGCAGGTCTTCCTGACTCCACGTCCAGCATTCTATCCACTGTGCCATCTAGCTGCCTGCTTGGCACATAGCAGGTGTTTAGTAAATGCCTTTTTGACTGAGAGACACTACTACAAAGTGATCACTTGTTTTTGCATTTAATTAAAACAATGCTAAAAAGCACATTTTTAGAAGGCTTAAAGAAACCCAAATGGCAAATCCAGGGCCTCCTCTTGCGGAATTCTAGATTTCTGAGGGGCAGTCAAGAAACATTTAAGTACTTCATTTTAAAATGTATTCATTTCCAATATTAAGCAACAAAGTTTCTTTTTCATGGTTACAGCAGTGATTGCATATGACTTGTAAGTAATTAAAGTTAGAGAATTTAGTGAAAGGGCTAAAAACAAAACAAAACAAAAAATTAAGAATTCCTCAAAAATCAAATGAACAAGCTAAACTCTGAACTGTACAATCTCCACTGGGGGACGGAGGCCCTCACCAACATCCGCAGGGTGGAATTTCTCTTTCAGCTTGGCCCAGCTTGGCCCAGCTCAGGCACTGACTGGCTCTATCTGACCTCCCATCTCTTCACAAGCCTCTTCTGCAGCCAGCAGAACCCTGCCTTGAACGTCCCGTGTAAAACAGAAGCAGTTTTCGGGTGAGCAGCAGCCTTGGCCAGCACACCCTCACTACAGGCGGAGTCATCCTGGAAATGCTCCATGTAGAAAGATGGAAAGAACTCCTCTGTCTGTGTCCCAACTAGATTTCACCCAACGAGGCCCACTGAACGACGAGGAAGTGTGGGTCTGTACACACCAAGTGGAGGAGAAGGTGACTTCTCCACCACGTTTTGGGTGTGGTTCATGTGTGGACCTGTCGACAACACCATGGGGCACTCGAGTGAGCACTCTGAGGACTGAGATCTCCATTGGATATATGTGGAAAATGCCTGAGGTCAGAGCCCACTAGGCTGCAGCGTCAGAGGCAAGATGAGAACACAGGAAGGGCTTCCTCACTCCAAGTCCCTATGACACACGCATGCCCTCACTCCCAGTTCTTCCTATGACAGCTTTCTGGGTTCTTTATCTGTTACCACCTCTTCCAAATGATTCTAACAAGCATTTTTTAAAATTAAAGCAAACCTGTAAGTAGCTTGCAAAATGGAAGAGGGATGACAGGCAACCAAGTAAGAGTCTTGGAATCACAGACCAGGCAACCTAGTGTAGCAGAGAGCCCTGGGTGGCTTGAAATATATTGCTAGAATCTATATGTACACACACCTCCAGGAAGCCTGGGGGCATAAGATACCTTTAGGAAAAAAGTAGGGGAAAGATGAGAAATTTTTATTTAGCTTTTGCACAGAATAAGAAATGATGAAGCACATAGTGCCAAATACCAGAAGCCCAGGAATAAGGGGACCTGGCCACCAGCCAGGTGTCTGATACTAGTCATGGGTACCTCTCTGAGCTTCAGTCTCTCACTTGCAAAATAAGCAAGTTGGACTAGGTCATCTCTTAGACCCCTCCCAGCTCTTCAAATTCTATGCCTCTATGGGAATTGGGGAAATCGGGAACCAGAGATTTTTTTTTAAATTTTCACAATGCAAGTCTGCTTTACCAAGTAAGTATTTTCACATTAAACAAGTTGATTGTGAAGTGAGAAGGCCTCCATTCGGACCCTCCACATCTTTGGTCCCAGGTTCCCTCCTCTGCACAACCATGCAGGGGAACTAGATGGTTTCGAAAGGCCCTTTTCAGATCTAAGTCCTACAAGCTATGATTTCAGAAAGAAAAATATCAATAGCATCAACATATTCTTGCAGAACCTTTGTCATACTGTGTGAAATACACTATATTTTGGGAAAGGATGATTGAATGCCATCCAGTCCTGAGAAAATGGTCCCTGGGTCCCATAGCAAGTGGGTATCACCTGCCATGACTTTCTAATTCAGGCCTTCTGTCCTTCCTACCACCACCACACCACCACAGCATTTGCCTTTCCTCTTCTATTTACGTTCCCAAATCCACAACCCATTTTGAGGAGGGGGGTCGGGCTAGGAAATCAGCCTTCACCCACATTAGTCAGTTTGGGCTGAATTTCAGCTCGGCCCAACTTGGGCACTGATTGTCTCTATCTAGTCTAACCTCTACCCTTTCTCAAGTCACCAGCACCCTGACTTTAAGGACCCACGTAAAGGGTTTTAGAAAGAGAAAAGTAAAGTAGATCTTTAAAAAATTTATGCAAAGCCCTTCAAATATAACAGACAACACCCACAAGATAGTACATAAGAACACACACTAAGTTTTGTTAGCGACAGAATCTAAATTTCTCAAGGGCAGATTCCGTTTCATACCCCTGTGCTTAGGACAGTGTCTTGTACACAGTAGGTCCTTTAATAAAAGTTTGTCTGATTTGTTGAAGGAAATACGGTCCTTTTCTTTTCCCTGCACAACAATCTTTGAATCATCCCTTACAGTAAATGAAACTCTGAGATAACATCTCCGTACTCTTCCTTCTTATTTCTTGGGGCTATCTGAACCAAAGATGCATGAGGCCAATTTTTTCTTCCAGCCACAGATGATCTGTGACAATGACGATCCCCATACAGTGGTTTGCACATACATATCTGGATTTGCATTACTCAAAGTTATAATGAAATAAAATATGGTGGTTGTTTCAACTCAAAGGAAATACGCAGTGCAAGTTAAGGTGCCCACTTCAGAGGCCTCCAGGGTGGGCACCAATGGACGTCCAAAGGCAGGCAAACATTCCAGACTTGGTTTTCACACTCACCATCACTGTGCAATCCTCTGAACCACTGGCAATGACCTGGTCGTTGTGTGGACACCAGTCGATGTCGAGCACGGGTCCTGTGTGGCCACATACTGTAGGGTAGGATTTGTCGATTCTACCAGTCTATGGCAAAAGAGAGAACAACATATTACAGACACCTTTGATTTATTTTGGATTACCTTTACACACACCTACCCCTCCCCCTTCCCAAATGTGTAACACTACAATTAAAGGGATAAACTGGGGTGGGGAGGAGAGAAGATACTTGATACTGTTTAGATATGGCAAATATCTAAAGCACAGGTGAGTACTTCCAACTCCCAGTACTAGAAACCATTATGATTCTCACAAAGTCCTCAGTTCCTAAGACCTCCAATGAAGACATAATAAAAAGCAGATGCTGCAACAGACACTAAGTGCTGTCCCCAGAGTTTTTACTCCAGGGACAGTAGTTCCAAAAAAGGGAGAGGGGAGCCCCATTTTGCAATGACGGATGACCAACCAAGTCCTCAGAGTCCACATCAGACCGCAGCTGCCATTAAATCAAACTGTCTCACACAATAATGGCTAACAACGGCAACAGCTCAAGAAATCTAAACTACAAATTCCAAGTACATCCTTTATTTAAAATAGCAACAATAAAACATCAATGGATTATAACCCATAGAGGAGTTCTATCTTATAATCTATCTTATAACTAAAGTCCTCAACAAACTTCAATCATTTTTAGACAGGAAAGAGGTTCTAACACCAAAAAGAACTGCTGTCAAAGCCCCCTAAGTCCTTTGGGAGGCAGAGCCAGCTGCTGCCCCATGGATTGTCAACGTACTCCCCTGCCCCAACCTCCCCACTCAACCCAGACGGGAAAATCTGATGAGCAGACCATTCTACGCCTTTACCTAAATTATTGATAACAACTACTTTTCTGAGTCCAATATTTAACAAGTTCTGAAATCATCTAATCGTAAAGCATCATCTGCAACAGATTATACTTTATTTTGAAAGATTCTGGAAACTGATGTCCCTTTTTGCCTGGACAAGTACAACTGAAGCTATTTAAAAACAGACAAAACCACGCTTCAATTAGGAGTGAAAAGTAGTGCAAGAAAAGTGTCTAGTTCTATTTTTCTAACTCAACCAGCAGAAACGCCAATTAGACGGACCAAGTGCTGTACTTCAGATGTCCTCCGTTACCTGCTGTCAAATCTCATCCAGACTGAAACGAGCTCATGTACCCAATAGAGAAGCATCACCATTTGCATGCACCTCAAAGGCAACTTGTCCCCTGAAGCCAGCGTTCCTGTTTTAAGTCTGACATATATTAAGAGAAGCAGTCTTACGACTAAAACAGCTAATTCTATCCATTTTAAAATAGGTAAGATCAGTCGAGGTTCTTCCTTGTGTACCCTACATACCAAGGTCCCTGAAAGATCATTATGGAGGAGGTAACAATACTCATTTCTAAAGGCAGCCAGCAACATATTTTAAATGACCAACTTCTAGGGGCAGCTAGGTGGGCACAGTGGATAGAGCACAGGCCCTGAAGTCAGGAGGACCTGAGTTCAAATCGGCCTCAGACCAAACACTTGACACTTACTAGCTGTGTGACCCTGGGCAAGTCATTTAACCCCAAATGCCTTTAAAAAAAAAAAAAAACCAACTTCTAGTCAGATTATCTTTTGCAAACATGATACTCCATTTTCCAACTAGATGGTAATGTATCAAAATGAGGCTTTCCTTCTCTGCAATTTATCAAAACTCTATAATACCTCACATTTTCTTTTTTTTTTCTTTTGACTCTGTAAATAGCATAATAGTTAATAATACTGGCAATTTGCAAGATCCAATACAAAATTGAGTAGAGAAAGGATACTCCCAGTGTCTTAATTACAAAAGAATTTGGAAGCAAAACAAATCATTAGCTTCCCAAAAGCACTGATATTTATACTTATTTATGAAGATTAATGATGGGCCCTTAGGAGAAAAATCAAACTATAAGAATCAATACCAGGCATTAAAGGGGGAGAGGAGTGGGGGTGAGGGATACAGAAGCTATAATCTAGTATAAATCAACAGGAATGAAGAGTGCTATCAAGCCTTTCACCCCAGACAACTACAGTAAAAACCAAGCAAATCTTTCTCTTCTTTCTTCCCAACACTATCCCAGAGGATAGCCTTGCCTCGACTCTTGAAAAACTAACCCGTCCAAGCCCAGACTCTTCTGGCCACAAGAGACTGGGGTCTAGGCCTATTGGCCGGTTAGGCTTCTAAGCCTCCCATTCTTTCTCCCTCCTCCTCCCCACTCACACCCTTCCCCAAATTCTACCTTCAGCACTACCGAAAAACGTAGCCAATGAATTCACATGTATCTAAGTCAATGACACAATACTCCCTGCAATTACTTGCATCTTAAAAGAAGTCTACAACCAGCCACACTTTTAGGCCAAGAGATGTTCAAGCACAATTTATTCTAACTACCTTAAAGGCTAACTCCTGATCTCCTTAAAGCTCTCCCTTCCTAGCCAGATACATGGGATAGGTGGAGTAATTGGGAATGTAAATTTGAATAGGGTGTGTGAGAAAAGAAGATAGTCTAACTCAAAAAGGCAAAGACCAGGCCCAGCTAGCCTATCTACTTCCTGTTTGGGAAATGCATCCTGAACTTGCGTATTTATTGTCAAGTCTAGTTAATGAACCATGAAACAGGACAATGAGTTTTTAAATTCAGAAGAGAAAAAAAAGGGGCCCTTAGTCACAATGGCTTCTTCTAACATTACAAGTGCTTTTGAACCAAGTAGAATTGTTGGAGACTAGGACTGATAAAATTTCTAAAACTTTAATTACAGTAAAACTTCTATTTACCCCTCCCCCTCTCTAATCTAATCAATGTATCTTTAAAGTTACAAAAGCAACATAATATATAGAATCAACTTAAAAAGGGTGCTTGGAAAGTTTCCAAAGCAGAAGCATGACATGCATGTTCCTAAAACACTCACATATCTACAGAATACTGGAGCAGGAAGAGGAGTCATCTCCCACAAGCCCTCGATTCACAGAGGAACAAAACGAGGGCTAGGGCCTCCTGACTCCCACAAGCCAGTGTGATCTTTCCATGACAAGCAGCTGACTCTCAAACAGAACATTTCACAATTAAATGTGAAATTCAGTTAGCTTCAGACCACTTCCCTTATTCTTCCAACTACCAGAAGGGCAGGTGTGTTGGAAAGCCCTGGATTCCAACACATTTCAGTTCTGTTGAGTCCTTGAGCAAGGTATTAAACTTCCTAAAACATCAAGTGGCTGCCCTGGCTTGGCCGATCTCTCCATCCCTTCCAATCCTCAATCCTATTTAAGACAAACCTGAAAGCACAAAGTGAGGGCAGGCACTCTTTAGTGGTGCAAAATCAATACTGATAATCCTCACCTTTCAAAACATGTTCAGCAGCAGCATTCTCTTGAGAGACACTTACCGACTTCAACTGTACACTAGCTTTCCAATGGAAGGGACTGGGCCTCATATCATATTTCCTCGAGAAAACAACGCATCCTCCACCACCTTAGGAATAGAGAAGGCTGAGCCCTGCCTAGGCCAACTGGGGCCACCGCCAGACTAGCAATAGCAGCAGAAGCCGCTCCATCACTAAACCACAGATCTCTCAAGGAGCCTCCATGCAGCCATCCACAGCCCACCTTACTCCACAGTGATCCTTTCCTTCTCTCCCCTTCAATCATCTGAGCCTGACTGGCCATTTCTGGGCGCTGTTCTTTAGCAGTTTCTCTCCCAACCAGGAAATCTACACAAGGGCCAGCCCCACCTGCATCCATCCGCCTTTATTTTCCAGTATCTAACATGGTACTCGATGTAGAGTCAAGACTTTAGGGCCTTTGAATAATAGATAGAAAAGAAAAATAGATAATTAAACTACCAAATGATGCTGGGTTTCCTCCTTTCTTTCTTTTTTTTGGGGGGGCAAATGAGCAATTTTATATTTGGACACCTCTATTTAGACAGAAAACAGTCAAGCTTGGGCTTTCAGGCTCAACAGAGGAAAATGATGACTCTCTCTGCTGAAATGGTGCTCGAATCTCAAGTCCATCCAGTTCGGAGCCTTTTTCAAAGCAGCAGAAGCAGCACGACCAACTCTCTGGCCAGTAAAGTCAGAGGCTTCTTGCCAGCTCATAGCCCAGAGGCAGGTTTGTTCTGGATGACCATACCCATAGCTGTGGCCTCTGGACACAGGGAAAGGCCAAGTGACCAGTACAAGGATGAAGCCACTGGAATTACAAGGGAACCTATCATTAGGTAAAAATTAGCTCTGGGGAATCGCAAAAACAAGAATATCTCACCAAACTGTTTTCTTAAATAAATGTAGCATGAATGAATGACTTTTTAAAGAATCCAGGTGTTCTCTTTTAGAAATGAACACAAATAGCAATTCTATGATTTTAATAGGAGGAAAAATCCTGTGTCTCCCTCTCTGAGCTGGCTGGAAATGCAGGGGCCCCTGATCCACTGCTCTGACCCTCGCCACTTCCCACTACAACAGAAGAGAAGAAGCTTGCCTTCCAACAACCTGGAGGCCCCAGCTCCCTGGGGCTCTCCAAATACCACAGAGATCCCTAAGCCTCCCCACCCTGGGAGCTGCCACCATACGTAGCTGGATGACAACTCTGTTTCAAAATCAGTCACTTCTCTCCCAAATCGTTTGTTTGAAACAGTTACACCACAGGAGGAGCATTGGGTGCTAGTGTCAGGAGACATGGGTGCTAGTTCTGTCTGTGTCTCTAATTGTGTAGCTAAGGACTTTATTTCTCATCTGTAAATGGGGACAATACCTATACAAACTACCTGACAAGGTTCCAAGATTAGAATCAGAAAATCAAGGGAATGGAAAGGGGTCACCAAGGTCAATCAATCAGCAAACATATGGTAAGAGCTTACTCTGTGCCAGGCATTTGGCGTACAAATACAAAGAAAGAAATAATCATTGCCCTTGAGGAAGTTATATTCTCGAGGGGGAGACAAGGTATATGAGAATATCCAAAATAAATACAAGATAACCACCAGGACATTAGTGAGGGAAGGCAGAAGCAGTTGGGCAGGGTGCTCTGTATAAAGGATG